TAAAAAAAAATATTTTATCCTATTTTAAATTCCTATTTTTCCATGATGGTCTTTTGCAATAAATAATCACCTTATCTTAAGCCACCAGAGGTGGGTTGCAGGCAGTAATCCCTGGTATGCGTGTACTGGAGCCAGCCCGGAGCACTGGATACCGTTCTGGTATGGTGCTCCGGAAGGCCCACCCGCCCGCCTGAGCTCCTTACCAGTGTTTAAAGGCTTGTGAGCTTCTGGACAGGCTCATGGCGCGTACAGCGCCTGCGTGATGCTCCATGGAGCAGCTGGAGCATCGCGGTGGCACTAAAACACACGAGGACACTGCCAGCCCTGTTCAAACCATACTGGTTGGAAAAGGATTTGAAACCCACCACTGTAAGCCATGGTGGCAGTTAGAATGCAGTACTGCAGGCTACTTCAGTTGACCGATAGCTGCAGTTTAAATCTTATTGGCTCAAGGTTGACTCAGCCTTCCATCCTTCTGAGATGGGTAAAATGAGGAGCCAGATTGTTGGGGGCAATATGCTGACTCTATAAACTGTTTAAACCACTGTGAAGCGGTATATAAATCTAAATGCTATTGCTATTGCTAATGTGCCTGTTTGTTTAAATAATCCTACTACCTTACTTGGACAACCACGAGATGAAGGCAAAGTGCTACAGAAACTTCTAATTCTTTGCTGCCACCTGGTTATCATCAGGATTTTTGAAGCCAATTAAATAGATGTCCACATTTTTTCTTCCTACATATGTTATCCTTCCAATAATAGTAATAGGGACACAGCAACAGAAACTTTGAAAAGGTACTTTAACAATGAAAGCATTTTTTCCGGAAGAGAGCAAAATGTTATGATGTTACCCAAAGTTACACTAATGGTAGAGAAGCATGAATGCATTTCTTAAAAGGTGAAATGCAATGATATTCACATTTATCAGCACAGGTGTTAAAATTTTATTGGGTGCTAATTTAATTTTTATACCGTCAACACTTGTCTGGATTGTAACACCTGCTGAATACTATTCTACAGCAACAAAGTACATCTTTACATGAAAACAGCTGCCTAATCAATTTGACTAAAAGGAATATATAGGAAAACTAGAGAAGACTCCTGAGGGCAAATGGAGCCCAAAGGAATTAAACTTCATTTAATGTGTTTAGAACCATGATGTGATAAGGAAAACAAACTAAACAATTTGCTTTTATATTTTGCTTTGTAATCCAATGAGAATATTTAACTGAAAGCAGCAATGAAAACCATGCCAACTACATACCAAAAATGATACAAAAGGGTAACAGTTAAATTTTCAAATCTAGCATGATGAACTCAGAAATATTTTCTTCAGAAAATAAATTGAGTAAATGTCATGGAAAGCAGGACAGTTAAATCAGCTTTGCCCAATCTGCTGGTTTCCAAGTGTGCTAGGATTTCAGTTGCAAGAATTCACAGACTGTGGCTGGATTTTAAGACTTGTATTTTTGATATATGTGGGAGAAACCTGCTGGTGAAAAATAGAATAGATCCATGAAAACACACACTTTGTGGAGAGACTTATTAAAAGTATTAGCAATCAAAGGATATGTATGTATGTATGTATGTATGTATGTATGTATGTATGTATGTATGTATGTATGTAGTGGGCTTTTAAAAAAAACTAAACAATTTGAAAACTATAGCTAACCATATGAATTTTCTTGACCAGCTAATGAGAAGTTTCTTGCATTCATCCTGAGTCTCAGAAGTTGGATAGTTGGAAAACTCTGAAAGCATTATTGCTGTTGGTCAGGTTTTTATGAAGCAATAATATTTTGTGTTTCTGTCTCTTCAGTATTATGAACCATGGTGATGCAGTGGTTAGAATGCAGTACTGCAGGCTAACTCACTGCTTATTAGTTCAGGAGTTCAATCCTGACTGGCTCATGGTTGACTCAGCCTCCCATTTTTCCAAGGTCAGTAAAATGAGGACCCAAATTGTTGGGGGCAATATGCTGATTATGTAAACCACTTAGAGAGAG